GTCATACCCAGATCCTCAAAGTTTTTTTGGTGGCTAATATCTATCAACGACTGCTGAGACACATGAAAAAATCCCCTCCATAAAACAGTGCTTTACTGGAAAATGAAGCACATTAGTTCAACCCAGCTCCGCAGCATCTGTATGGATGCTTTTTGGTGCTTTTATCTAAAGTTGATTGAATCAGCTATTTGATAGAAACACCAAAAAGCCCGACTGAAGCGCTCCATCTATACAGATGTTGGGCGAGCTGGATCCAACTAAAGTGATGCCTCATATGCTATGCTTGGCACGGGGGCATGCCAAGCTTAAAGTAAAGCGCCCATTTTTAATTTCTGATGTCTAAGTAGCTCCAGTGGTGTTTCATTCCCACTGAAATAAATAGTCATCAGCCCTCTAAACCCCTTAGAAGACGTTGGTCTCAGTCCTTGCAACAGTGAATACCTAAGTACCTTAAAAAAAGGGCTTGCAGTGCCTAAATCACTTGTGAAAATCAGCTCTAAGGCCTTTGGGGTAACCTGTTAAAAAATGGCATTGAGTCAAGTGTTCACAGTGTTAAGAGTGTGTGTTACAACAGGGAGATCTAGTCCTGGGAGGAGAATAATTTTTTATGCCTATACTATTTCCCAAGAGGCTTTGAATTCATTATCTGTTCTCCTGAAGACCTGCATGTGATCCCGCTCACAAGAGCAATGTTCCTTTTTTAAAGGAACACCAAGTAATTCCCCAGCAGGCTTCAAAGCAATGAGACAGTCTGGTGACACTGAATATATTCTCCTGGTGTTTAGTGCCAGGAAGTGATTTATTTTGGATTATGATGGAAATCCTGATGGTGGTTTTTTTTAAGTCCAGTGGGCCTGACATGATCATTTTCTGGAGCACAAGAGACTGCAGAAGACTGGACTTCTACTCCCAGCCCTGCAGCTCTCCCGCTGGTAACCTTGGACAAACCACTTTAAGTGGGGTCTGAGTAAAATAGGAGTAATGGTGCTAACTGGCACTGTAAAGCAGCGTTTCATAACCTGTGGGTCGTGACCCAAAAGTGGGTCACAGGATCATATGAAAGGGTCACGGAGACAAACTTTCAAAACAGATCCTCCTTTAAAGGAGAAAAATGTGGGAAACCGTGGGTTGCCCCTTGCAGGCAGGCAGTACTCCAGCCTGCAAGAGCCTGCTTGGGGCTGGGGGGAGTGGGAGGAGGGCGATCTGGCAGGAGGTGCCATGTGCATGTGCGCGTGCACACATGCATATGGCAGCCAGGCAGCGTGCTGAGCAGCTCCCACAACACCCTGCAGGTAATTCTGTGGTGGGGGGTGAGCAGAGATGACATGTTGGGGGGTGGGGGAAGCACTGGTGATGCCTCAAGGGACATGGGGGGGCACGTGCCCCCCAGATTTGTGTGCACACAGTGAACACAGAGTTGCAACCTGGCCAGACTGGCATGGGCAGGATCCACCTCTGCAGCCCAGCAGCCAGGACCCAGCATGAGAGGACAGAGCAGGGCGGCGAGACTGGTTGCTGCCACCACCGCTGGGACCCCTGCACCAGCTGCACTGCCAGCATCATGAAAAGTAATGGACTGGGAAGGGAGGTGCTGCGCTTTTCTTCTCCCGCTGCCTGCTGCTCACCCTCTACCCCTCCACTATGGCCCAGTTGCTGTTGCCACTCCCCACAGGCCACAGCTCTACGTTGGAGGGGATGTGGGTGGCAGCCCAAGAGGTGCAGTGGCGGTGGCCGGGCCGTGACAGCAGGGTAGAGCCACATCCCAGCATTCGAGTGGCTGGCAGCAGGAGGAGGTGAGGGCAGCGTGCTCCCCTATCTGTTACTCTTTGTGCTGCTGGCAGCATAGCTGGCGCAGGGGTCTCAGCAGTGGCAGCAGCAATGAGTCTCGCTGCCCTGCTCTGCCCTCCCGTGCTGGGTCCTGTCTGCTGGGCCATGGAGGTGATTGCTGCCCATGCTGCAGCCCCATGTCTGCTGTGGGTGCACAAGTATGGAGGGGGCACATGCCGCCACCCCACACACCCATCCCTTGCCCCACACCTTGGGTGGGTAGGGGCAGGGGGCAGTGGGTCAGGAGTGAGGAGCACCAGCAGAGCTAGGGGTGAGTTGGGAATGAGGGGCACCAGCAAGGCCAGGGGTCTGCTTCCTACTTAAGTTATTAAATGGGTCAGGACTGGCCATCAGTGTTTACAACTGGATCCTTGTACAAAAAAGGCCGAGAACCACAGTTGTAAAGCACTTTGAAATCTCCTGTAGTAAGATACGGTAGAGCTCTGAGATCTAGTGTTATTTCTTATGTAGGCTGACCTCCTACCAGAGGATTTCGTGCACTAATTCCTGCCCCAAACCTAGTCATTTGTGGTGGATCTAGAGCGTATCTTTTTGCAAGACAGCCCATCTTCATTGAAAGACTCTAGGTAACAGAGAGGGTCCCAGCTAATTTGTTAATCAGCCTCTTTGGTTAATTACCAGCCCAGTTAAAAAATGTCACCTGGGAGAATTAAGATTAATTAGTTTGACGTGTATATCATCTGCTAGTTAATTGCCCACCTGAGCTTCCCTTGTAGGAGAGACCCCTTGTAGGAGAGACCTCTCACCCCTTGTAGGAGACACCTATGGCTAAGGAGGAAAATTGGGCCGCAAGGCTGGGGTGAGCAGAAGTAGGCTCCAGAAAGCAAGCCAGAAGAAGCAGATAAGGATTCAATTCATACATGAATACAGTAACTTTTAACCTATTGATCTATCCCAGGGCTCTCTGGAGGGCCCACCATCATAGTAGCTGAGTCTCCCTCGGGAGTCTACCCAGGGCTTCCAAGATCTACCTATGTTACACATAAGAAATAAATCTCCTGGTTATCTCAGGTGACACACTGCAGACTTGGGGTCTCTCAGCCATGAATGGAGTATATCAGATTTACTTCCAGTTCCTTAAAAGTGGCCTAGCTGAATGGCTGGTTCAAAAGGTGCTCTTGAAACACGTTCCTTTTTCCCGTGCTGGCTGGCATATCTCCGTGAATACAGCCTCTTGACATCCGTCGCATAATCCCCTTCGGCTGACTGTGACACTCTTCATAACAAATTGTGCTGGAGACAGTTGTAGCAGGCATTGGGAAGGCAGGCAACCTCATGAATCATGTGCATTAAATGATCGTTATGTAAGACAGCAAAATGCTACTGTAGGAATTAATACATGACATTTTCCGCAGGATAATGTTAGCAGAGCAGGGCCTTTGGGTAGCATAACAAACAAATAAAAATAGCACCGTTCTGCTCCTTGATCATGCTGCGGCCTGCCTCTCTCTCTCTCTCTATTGTCTGCACACCTAAAGAAAACAGATTAACTAAATCTCACTTTAATATTTGGAAGGGAAAGCGGCTTTCCAACTGGTGGGGAAGATGAAGTCACTTGTTTGACTTAAGACTTAAATTCCTGGTATTCATGGCCACATAATTCCTTAGGGGGAAAAACAAACATTTTCCAACTGGGAAGAAATATCCCCCTTCAGTAGAAAGGCAAAGACTGAGTCACCAAGATGCTCTTCCCCAGTTAAGAACCGGAGTTTTGCTTGACTACATACTAATGACTATAATGATCCTCACTGCTTGCACAGGCATATTCAGAGCCCCATGAAATCATTGCCTATAGCAGTGGTTCTCAGTCCTTTTGGACTTTGGGTCCCTTTGGGGCACCAGGTCTGGGTGCTGACTTACAGGGGGCAGAAATATAGCAGCTGCCATGCTACTGGCCTGGCTGTTGCTGCTGCCCTCTGTGCCACCACTGCCCAGGGTGCGCAGCTGCTGAGTTATGCCTGTCACAGCCCACTTCTGCCTCTGAATTTATTGTGTGTCCCTAGGGCAGTCCTTTAGGCCAGCGTGTGCTGCTGTGGTTGCTGGAGTTAGACACCTAAAATCCATATTTAGGTGCCTAAAGACATGCCGTAATAAGTAACAGTCTGATTTTCAGAGGTGCAAGGTGCAGCTGCAGCTCCCACCGATGTTAATAGAGGTGTAAGTGTCCGCAAAGCTTCTCTGCTGTCTTCTTCATAAAACTCCCCAGTGCTGCAGTGGTGCCAAAAAACCCATTGCAGTGCTTAGGTAACTAGAGGGCTGAGACCACTCTCTCTCTCAAGCTGACCAAAATTGGCATGCTGGTTTTTTGTCCTGTTCGGTCTGTGTGTCTGTCCATCCCTTGCCTCTCGTCTTGTGCTTAGGTTGCAAACTCTTTGAAGCAGGGGGGGCTTTTCCTTCTCAGTTCGTATAGCACTTTGCATAGTGGGGACCTGATCTGCAGCTGAGGCTGTCCGTGGGCCCTCAGCACAAATAGACAATGATTAACAGCTACCATCAACGCGGTGTAAATCCTTTGAAGTCAACAGAGGCACCCGAGTGCAGGGCCTGTGTGAAACCAAAATCAAAGGCTCTGTCTGGCTAAAAGCTTTCAGACTGGGTCATTATAAAGGGGTCATATCTTGGGAAGGTATTTTGCTGTTTAAAATGAACCTTTTTCTCTGATGTATCCAATGTAGGCTCACTGTGGAACTGTCCTTCATGTAGGTGCGGAGTGCCAGCATGCTTCTGGTTCCTAAAAATTTGGGAAAATGAAGAGCGGGATAGGTGCCCAACTAATCCCAGGGCAATGCATGGAACTCCTGATCTTCAAAGGGGCAGGCTACCCCCATACCAGGGGTTGTTTAAAATAAAGCATCACTTCTACCATGGCCCAGAGGTCTGGACCAAGCCAGCATCAGAAGGAAAACAGTGCAAGACAGCTGTGCTCATAGCCTTCCTTTCAGATGGCACTTTCTAGCAATCCCTAAGAGTGACCAAATTCCACAGATGCTGGTATTATGGGTAAGCCCCTGGCTCCCTTGAAGGCAATGGCTCAGAGATTGACGTCGGTGGGATCAGAATCGCTGTGTATGGCAACTCATGTGCCTTCTGAATGCATCTGCTCTTTTCAGTCAGTATTACCTTATGCATTTTTTCTTCTTCTTCTTTTCCAGATAAATTTTGTATTTCTATTTAACATAGTTAGGATTTTAATGACAAAACTAAGAGCCTCAACCACTTCAGAAACGATACAATACAGGTAAGCTGGCCAGTGCTTTTCCGAGCCATTCTTAGAAGTGTCCTGATTTCCTTTACACCGTATCAATGGTTTGGGATGGGAGGGTTACAAATCCAGACATTGCCCTGATATTATCCTGGCTTTGTAGTGTAGGTTTATTCACCTGGTCTTAGCAAGTACCCTTCCTTGTGCTCATTTGGCTTCCTAAGTATTATTATTAGTGTTGTTGTTGTTGATATTATTCCCCTTTCGTCTTCCCCTGGTAGATTGTGATTAAAATTTATCTGCAAAAATGCACCTGCATACACAATACGCATGCATATGCTCAGTCAAATGCAACTAGGATTTTGTATGCGGTGCAATTCTTTACCCATTTGCACCCCTCAAGGTTTGCACGAACCTAAATTGTGATGTGCAAAAGTGCAACTTTAAAAGAATAGCCTGGTGTTGTTAGCTAGATTGGCCCCATGTATAATGTCATACATCAGGAAGGTGACTTTTCCCCCTAAGTTAAAATACAAGGGTTAGTGGGAACCGAAAATGTATCCATTTCAACCTGTATGAAAATAGCTATAAAATTGACTGTAATTCGTTATACCAATAAGTAGAATCTGGACCGTTCCTATTGGGATTGCTCACAGTCCATTTAACTCATAGCAAGTTGCTGAATTAAGAACAAGCCACACAGCTATTTTCATAGTCTCATAGTTTCATAGTTGTTAGGGGCTGAAAGGGATGTTACAGATCATTGGATCCAGCCCCCCCCTGCATGTTTGCACGAAAGACTGCTGGATCAAATGATCCCAGCAAGATGGGCGTTAAGACATTTTTTAAGATAGCCAGGGTGGATGACTGTACCACCTTTTACTTCAAAGAACACCACTTCTTCACTCAGCTGGAGTTTAGCAGTGGTCCCAGGCAGGTCATCACAGAAGCTTTGCCCTTTGTGATAAAAGCCACAGCGAGCAGCTGGAGAATCTGACAGTCCCACCCAGCTGTTTTCTGTGGGTGTATACACCTAGATGCTTTGAAAAATCTCATCTTTGCAGGGGTGGGGTAAGGAATTGAACCTGGTAAAATATCCAGGTTTGACTGTATTCATGTAGCTGAATTGGCTGATCAGTCCAGGAGTGCACAGCCCATGCCTAATTGTTAGTCACCTATTCTAGGTGCCAGTATTGCTATTTGCACTTCCAAAAAAGCTGACCTGAAGGCATGAACTAAGGTTTGTAGTCCACATTTCTCAGACCTCGGCAGAGTCAGAAAAAAATTGAGGTCAATAGGATTGGGCCATGTGTTTGTGCCCACTAATCCAGTTGGCCAGGGCACAGACACATGGGTGTTTGTGCCCACAAATAACTGATCATACAAAGTGAGACCTGACTTTTGCCAGATACGATGACCTTCCAAGATGCTCCATGATCATTGATGCCAGCATCTTGAAGGAATGGGCCTTTAGAGTATGGATTGGTGCCTTTCTGTGTTTATAGAGGTCTCCCATATTCTGAAAGGAACAGGGCTGTCAAGGAGTGCATCACAAAGACTTCCCAAATCCCTCGTATGACTGAAATCTCAACACACTAAGGGCTGAACCCAGAAGCCCTTACATGGGCTCTCTATTCACTCCTAAGGAAGCTTTCCTCAAGTAGCATGGCTTTTGTGTCAGGAGGGCTCATGCTTTTCCTTTCACTTCTCTCAGTAGAGCATGATATCTATTTAAGCTGTGGGGTCTGAGGATGCTGCTCCAACTCCCCTCTGCACATTCATTGAGAAATGAAGCCTCTTATAGGAAAAGTATCCATCTTGGATGCTTAAGTTTCATGCAACCTAACAGCTGTAAAGGTGGTTGATGATGTGAGATCAGGAGGCGAGTGTGTTGAGGCCACAGCTTATCCCACCCCCAGTATTGTTTCCTTCTTCTCCCTGCTGGCTTGTCTACTCCCACCCGGAATATTATCCTTAGACCTTTGAGGACAGGAGCTGTCTTTTTCTGATTGTGCTTGTACAGCACCTAATACAAGCAAATTTTGGTTCAAGACTGGGCATCTTACATGCTCTACTGCCATACAGATAATGGAAAATGATGCTGCATTACTTTGTATGCAACACGCCCCAGAGTAAGATACGTATCTTGTTTTTGAAAGGCAGAATGACGAGAAAATGATCTTTCTTTGCAATAACTGAATAGCAGCCGCTAAGGAGCTGAGCCCACACATTGTTATGTCCCATTTAGATCGGGTGCAGAGTTACCGCATTTACCTGAATCCAAGACGGCCTGGAGTTTAAGATGACCCACCCCAATAATTAGATTGTTTAAACGGAAAATGTATTAATTTCTTCTAATTTTCTCTGTCTGGTATCTAATTATTGGAGGGGCATCTTAAATTCATCCCCCAACTGCTGCAGCAGGGAAGGCAGGGGCAGGGGGGCAGGCAGTAGGAGGGGAGGCATTAGGAGAGCAGACAGTAGAGGGCAAGAGGTGGGGGCAGGCAGGAGGAGGTGGGGGCAGGCAGTGGAGAAGAAGGCAGTGCAGAGGGGCCCTCCACACTTGACCTCTGCCCCCTGCCCCCCTGCTTCTTCTGGAGTTACACAGCATCTAGATAGGGGCTTCATTTTGGACGGAGGCAGGATTTAGATGCTTAAGGCCTGCATTAGGAGCCAGATGTTCTCCCACCTATTAGGCATCTGAGTGGATTTAGGCACTTAACAGAGGACCCTTTAATCTCTCCGAATCGATTCAGAGAGATTCGGAAAGATTCGGAGAGATTCCACCCTGCTCAAATCCCTTAAAAAAGATTATCACAAAAATGGGTAGGTTTCTCCTCCTCCTCCACCTCCTCCTCACTGTTTCTAGTCTTCAGGCTAAGGTAATGGATGGTATGCTACACCACCCTTGACCATAGCAGGACATTGGCCGGCATGGTCCCCCTGCTTTACCTATGGCAGGCTGGGGTGTTATGTCTTATGGCTGTATCAGGCCTGCCTGTGTAGTTGTGCTAAATCAATTTGAATAGGATGGTTTGGATAGAGATGATCCTGTCTCATTCAGTGGGTTGAACTGCACCTCTGGAGTCCCCTCTAGCTGTACTTTTCTGTGGTTGTGTGATACATAGGATAGGACCTGACCCTTAGTATTTAAGCCCTTTGCAACTCCAGGCCTCATCCCCTCTGTGCCTTTGTCCCTCCCTTCTGTTTTTGGGACTAATGCCAGTTTCTTGCCTCATATGGCTGTTGTGAAACAAAATGATCATGAGGCACTCAGCTATTCAGGGTGATGGATACCCATGATAACATAACTAAATGCAACTGAATTGTCTTTCAAGTTTGACTGCTTATACCATGTTTGAATTTTGCCATTTATGGTCCATGACACGTACTCTACCCAGAACTTCCTTTCCAGGTATACTGAATATGCAGGCTATACTCCCAATAAAAATTAACCTGGCATTTGTATTTGGTTTAGAGCCCCCAAATCAGTCAGTACTCTAATCCAAAGATGAGGCCAACAGTCACAAATAGCATTATTTAATTTCAGGATCTTACTCCTGTCTTACTCCTGTCTTTTGAAAGGAAGAATCCCCCATACATACTGGGTATATCTACACATGCATCTACACTGGCTTAAATTTACTGTGCAATAAGAGGGAATAGGCCGGCATTTGCACATGCAGGCATTAAAGCACATTAACACTGTGTGCTAAAGTTAGTCCCAAGTCAGTCCACACACACAGTGTTACTGTGCAATAAGGCATCTACATGTGCGTTACTGTGCAGTAACTAATCAGGCATAAATTTGATACCATCATGATGCAAGTATCAAATTTATGCTCAAGTTGGCATAAGTCACCATGTTTACTGTGCAGTATAGGCATGCATAGTTAGACGCAAACCCATACTGCACAGTAATTTTGGTTACTGCACAGTAAATGCACACGTGTAGATGCGCCCGCTATTTTGCAATCCCTATCAATTGTACAGATCCAAATTGGCCGTTACATTTACACTCTTTAATGCCCCATAATGTTATAATCATATATCAGTTTCTCTTCTGATTCCATTAACAGACGAGCAAAAACAGTCATCATTAGGGGTCTACTTAAATCACAGTTAAACTTACCATTTTTTACAGGTGGTTGTGGCATAAAGAGGAAATTCCACGGACATTTTGCAGATGTGTTTTGGCAGCTCCACCCCTTAGCACTGATTGGCAGAGAGGTGCCCAGGTGGGAGGAGGGACAATGGGGCAGCCTCCATCTTGACTGCTGGCTACCCTGCATGTGGCCCTGTCCCTTGGCACCGATTGGCGTAGAGGCCTAGTGGGGAGGAGAGATGAGGGGGCAGCCACCATTTTGACTGCTGGCTGCCATTCGTGTGACCCTGCTCCTTAGTGCTGATTGGTGGAGAGGTCCTGGGAGGGCGGGGGATGAGGGGGTGGTGGCCCCTCTATGCCGCCTCGCCAGTTAGCGCCTTCCTCTCCCAGGTTGGCTGCAAGGCTGGGCCCCAGTGGCAGTGAGGATTACTGGCTCCCATTGGGAAGCCAGCATTTTATTCTTATTACATTTTCTTTGGTGTTGATTTCGCAGACAATCCCCGATTTTGTAGTTTCCACAAAATCCACAAACCATGATTTAAGTAAACCCCTATTCATCATAGTGAAAAGTCGCTATAATAGACTTAGTGCCGTTTGCTCCTATCATATTTTACTACCAGCAATCATTTCAGGAGTTAGGAGCAGCTCCATTAAGTATCACAACCATAGTTTTTAGCCAGGTTTCAGACTACCTGGGAAACTCTCCTCATCCTATATACACTGAAATGATGGAACCAGATCCAAGTCATTCCTCCACACAGCACATCTGAGCTTTTTTTATAGCACAGTACTGATCCTTGTTGTAGTTACAGAGTATAGATAGGAAATATAGCAGACATGGGGCATGCTGTAGAGCAGCAGGCACTTGTCCGGTGGTCCCCATTTCACTTCATCTTCCAGCACTGAGAAGCCGATGCGTGCAAGATCAATGAGGGTTTTCCACAGCTGCCAGGAGTTTTGTCTGGAAGCAAGACACTTTCAAGCTGCCAAAAATCTTAATTGGTCTTCTTTCCCAGGCCACTCTTTTTTTTTTTCCAAGAAAACAGCAGAAGTGATAGCTTTGCAAGCATATCTGTGGGGCAGGCACAGAATTGCCTGGGGGTGATGATGGAAGGGCCAATGACTTGGAGGCAGGGTTGAGGGTTCACAAAGAGCAATATAAGAACAAGGTGGGGAAGAGTGCCAACTGAGATGGGATAAACCAGGCAAGATACCAGTCTTGCATCAACCTGAGGATACCAGGCGTGATACCAGTCTCATGTCAGCCAGTCCCACATCCATAGAGGTCTGAGGAATTGCTCCCTTTCATGTTGCTCATAAGCCCACACTCCTCAGTGTAAATCCCTGGTGGTGAGTGGTTCTCCCAGGAAAAAAATCAGGCAATCTGTTTTACCTCTCTAATTAACTTTTCCCTCTCTGCTTCCTCCCCACAGGAAGGCAGTGAAGGCTACGTTAGTCCTCCTGCCTCTTCTAGGCATTACCTATATGCTTTTCTTCGTCAACCCAGGTGAAGATGACATTTCCCAGATTGTCTTCATCTACTTCAATTCCTTCTTGCAGTCCTTTCAGGTAGGAGATAAGGTTAATAGCAAGTACTGGGCACTGCTAAAGGGATCCTCCGTGCTATTGGTTGTGAAACTTAAGGCAAGCAAACCCTCATTAGAAATACTAGTTGGAAGAGTCCAATTTTTCTTTTTGGGACAGGAACCTTGTTCTGTGTTCGCACAGTGTCTACGATGACACCTCAGTGCAAATTTTCTTTTGGGGCTTGCTTGTTTAAAATAACTTAATGGTTACCTATAGTGTGTCGTGTACAATGGAGATCCACTCTGAGGTAGGTTTGAGTTCACTTGACTAAGATCTTGGCTGTACCAACTAGCATCCTACCCAGGCTTTCCTGCAACGATGTGAGCTCTGGTTCACACTGGACTTTGTGCCACTCCAAAGCTCAATATTGAGTGAAGTATACACCCGGGAAGACCATATCTTCCTTTCCCTGAACTCCACAGGAGTGTTGATGTGACTTTGAAGTAACGGGATCAGCTTTGTATGGGCAGTGGGCAGAAGAGGTCCCAGCTTTCAGGACCTAGCCTACAGACTCATCGTTGGCCCCACCACCCAGGGACACTCACTTTATGCCCCTATGTGTGGCTGTGCATGTATTTAAAGGTAGGTGTGGACTTGACAGTCTACCCAAATTGGTATGTAAGTGCCATTTAAGTTGGCCTCTGTTTTGCCATTGACTTCCACAGGAGCAGTCCCTGAAGCAGGGATACGGCCTAGACCAGGGGTGGGCAAAATGCGGCCCGTGGGCTGGATGCGGCCCACCAGGCTATTCTATCCTGCCCTCTGGGCCTCTAAACAAATTAGAAAATTTATGTTTATCTGCCCCTGGGTACCTGCCATGCAGCCCTCGACGGCTTGCCAAAACTCAGTAAGCGGCCCTCCGTTCAAAATAATTGCCCGCCCCGGTATACAGTAACAATGTGGATCCCCGTAGCGGTGATTTGGAACTGTTTCTGTCTGGCAGAGTCTTTGATTGCAGGTTCTAAAAGCTTTTGACATAGATAATTATTTCTAATTATTATTTCATATTAGCATTTGAAACCCAAAGCATAACAGTAATAGCAGTACAAAAGCAAAGAAGAGAAATGACCCTTTTAAGCCATAAAAAGGAGAGGAGTTTGTTCCTAAACAATGAAACAGGCTACAATTTTCATTGTGTAAAATAAATTACATATTTTATCTGCTCAGACTCATTGCCTATGGAAGAAACGGTTTATTACATTGTTAATACCACAACATTGTATGGCAGCAAGAGCATCTGAGAAATAGGTCTGTTGCTGTAGCAATGATTACAGCCCACTGCTGAAAGTAAAACAAAGTCAGCCAAGCCACTGCAATCAAGAATATCATTTCTCCAACCATTTACAGAGTTATGGCCTGATTCCTTTCCCACTGAAGCCAATGGCTTCAACTGGTGTGTGTTTCTTGTCCGGTGATCACTTGAGCTTAGCATTTCCTTTGTGATCACAATAGGCTCCCTGCTAGGCAACTTGTATTAAAAGGACAGCTCTGGCCCACAAAGCCTTTATCAAGAGAGCAATGGGCATAGCTCTTTAAGAGTTTCTTTTGTGCTGTGTGTCTACATAGCGGAGTAGTCCATGACCAGGTCTCTTAAGTGATACCATAATACAAGTGACCTGGAAATAACAGAAGCTGGGACAGTGGGCAATATTTTAAAACCTCCTCCAGGTAACACATATTATCTGCCAAAGCATTCAGCAGGAGAGTGTATCCTGTGAAGCGGATGGCAGGATGCTGTAATACATGTCTCCTATCTGTAACTCCCCCCATTCCAAACCTACAGCTCTATAACAGGGGGCCAACTTTTGGGGGAGGCATGCCACAGATTAGCTGCACGCCTTTGCCAAGGGCTAACAGATGCTCTTCTCTGCCCAACCCCTTGCTCTGCTTTCTGCATCCTGTACCAGCTGCTGTGCTGCCTGTCCCCTCCACGGTGTCCCACGTGCCACACACAGAGGCTGCCCATGCCACTTGTGCCACTTGTACCACAGGTTGGCCACCAGTGCTCTACAACCCGGGGGTGAAATCCTCACTCCACTGATGTCAAAGAAAGATTTGCACTCAGCCGCATTGTGGGCAGGATGTTACCCTATATATTCATATAGTAGCTATCTAGAACACATTGCCATTGTTACAGCTGATAGTGGATCACCTTCACTCATTAGACCAGTGCATAAAACACCACATTCAGGTAGACTGAACTGCCACTAAACAGGAGTGACCAGGGCAAATCCAGCCCTAGCTATGTCTTTGGATCTCCTACTCAGATGAAGAAATTATAAGTTCATGCCAGAACGCGCTGCTCAATGTGGAATCAGACTTCACGGTAATTTAACACACCACTGGAGTCTTCCTCCAACAAGAATCATAGGAAACACAGATGAGCAATGCATTTGTTTCCATGTTAAGATATGGTGACAATATAACCCCCCTCTTCTGCCTGCTTCACCTTCTTTGACAAAATAGCGATCTAATAATGATTCCTTTCAATTCTTTCCAGGGTTTCTTTGTGTCAGTATTTTACTGCTTCCTGAATGGTGAGGTAAGTAGCATCCTATGCTGTCATTGCAATTAATTAGCGTCAAGTGTGAGCTGCTTGAGTGACTAATTTTAGGGAAATGAAATGCATTTGTTCTGCGTTGTAGTCCCGTCACCTTTGGTACTCTTGGTACTCCATTAACGTGCATGTAAACGTCACAGCCCACGGCACACGTAGGCTTTGCCAACAGAACCTGGATCAAGCAGAGCTGAAAATAAGGCAGAAGCAGCCTCAGGTGATATGATGTTTCTGTTCATCATTTCAATGAGCCTTTGAAGTTTCACATTAGTTTTGAGAATAACGTATGCACTTCTTCACTTAAAGAGCATTCCTTTGTGTGAGTAGCAGACACAGCATGTGACTTATTGTGACGTAGCTGCTATTCTCCCGAATTGTTCTTGTCGACGTCCTTGACCAGCGTGCTATCTACCTAACTGGCCAGTACCTGATACTTCAGATGATGATGGTGAGAGGGAAGAAGAAAAACCTATAATGGATAGTTGTGGAGTTAACTGCCCATATAGGAAGTTTCTTCTAACTTTTGGTAGTCCGTTTGATTTATATCCTGAAGTTTGAAGGTTTCTCTCCTTTCTTCTTTTCTTCTTGTTCTGTTTACTCTGGGGACCTCTTAATCATCTGTATTAATGCGTAAACCTTATTGAATCCGACTAAGTTCTTAGCCTCAATATCAATGAGTTTCATGGGTTATTTTTTGCTGTATATCAAAGTGTATCCTTCTAACAGTTTTAATTGATGGTCCCCTATGTGGTTTTAGGAGAACCCATTTTACTTTCTCTGGCCTGCCTCAGATGCCTCCATGCTACTTCTTTAAGACATCTAGTTGCAGTCTTTTTATGCTCTCTTGTGCATTTTTCCATACCATTAATACTTTTTATCACTTATCTCTGGACCCCTGCTCCTTCTGCTTTTATCATTTTTAAGACTCATGATGAGAAATGATCGTGGCGTTCTCAGTCAGAGCATATGTTCGCTTTGTAGGTAGCATATGGCATTTTCAGTACAATTTCATATCTCACTTTGTGTACGTTCTGCCATTCACATTTCTCTTCTGACTGCCCCTGAGCTTGGAGAAGAGGTTAGTTTCCAGTGTCCTACAATGGCACTCAGGTCTTCTTCCCAATTATCTTAGTCAATGCAGAGCCCACCAGTTAATCTAAATTGCTCAGATTATTCTTTCCACTGTGCATCTCCTTATGTATTTTCAACAGCCATTTTCTGCTGCCCATTCATGTAGCATTATGCATTTGGAGTGACTCCAACTGTAAATTAGAGCAGCTCAGTGCAGCACTTTGACCCATGCCTTACCCCAGGGCTTGTAATAGGGGTTGTGCAGGGCCATGTTGTTCTGGCTTTACATTGCTAATGGACAGAGGAAGTTCTCCGAGGACTTTATTTTTCCACTGCAGCAATATTCTGGACATAGAGATGGGACCACTGATTTCATTAAACAGCTTGGACTCTCATTCAGCAATGCAGTATGTTCCCATTGTTTTGCATTGCCCTAATAATTTTCCACCCTGTGGGTTTAGGCAGGAGCTACTCCTCTTTGTGGCTTGTTTCAGCTGGCTAATTTGGCAGGATTTTAGCTTTCTTATGGTGGGAGCAGCATCTCATGGACAGTGACACATTTTTACTATAGCAGTGGTCCAAGGCCTCTTCCTAAACCATGAGCCAAATACATCCCCCTGTAACTTCAAATGGGTTTATGCTAGAGTTGATGCGGCCCCTAGAAAACCAGCACAGCTTATACTATGTGCATCTCTATATCTTAGTAGATGGACATGGTTTAATGTTCTGTGCTTGTTCCAGACATATTACATCCATATTAAGGTCCTTGCCCGGTCATCTTGTTTCTTTATCAGACATAAGATAGACTGAGATAGATAATCACTACGTGATAAATGCAGAATTTGCTCTGAGACAACCAACTCCAAATATGGCTGCAAGGTAAATTTTTGATGGAATGGGGTTTTTTAACCAGGAAATGCCAGTTCATCCAAAGGAACATTTTTTCACTGGACTGTACCAGTTTTTTGCAGAAAAGATTTATCAGATATGGGATAGGATTTCTGGCCAGAGAGAGAGACGCATCTATATGGAGCCAGTGTCAAAGGAGAATATGTCAAAAAGGCAGCAGCTGTTATGTTCAAATTGTTACCCGTGCGTAAGTCTGGGAGGATATAAATGTAAGTAAGCTGCTCCAACCTTAACACTTTCTCTAGAGAGACTCTAGAAGAGTTACAGACTGGTGGGTTGAAGCAAGCATGTTAAAGGCCTGGGTTCAGCTCTCCGGCTCTGCCTGATTCAGACCAGGGATTTCAGGCTGGATTTCCCACATTTCAGGCCAAGTGATTTATAAACAGTGAATGTCTCTCTCATGCTGGTGCTGTTCTGCATTGCATAAATAACTTTATATTCAGATAAGAAAGGGACTTGCGGTATAGCCCTCTGGTTAATAAGGCACATTTCACATGACTGCTCTAAGTATATTCATTTATTCAATGGGGAAAAGCTCTGACTGGAGAGACTGAGAGAGACCCACCTCTAACTTGACGGTCACTTACTTGGCACATAGAAGAAAGGCAGAATGGGAAGTTTAAACCTGGGTGTCCTGCATCGCAGGTGAGTGCTGTTCAAAACTTTAGCCTTGGTTTCATCCCATTTCTCAAAAGGAAGATAATTTGACATCCCACCGTTTTTTTTACAATGGGAAAATCCTTTCCTGCCCACCTGCAGCTCCAAGCCACCAAGCCGACCTAGATGCAAACCAGAAATGCAATAGCTGTCGGCCCTGAGTGGTCCTGATGGCGTTACTCAGACATAATACAGCATACTTTATAACAGCACATTTTGCTTTCATACAGTCTTTTCCATTGGCAGATCTCAAAGTGCACCACAAGGAACGTTCTTGTAGCCACGGGGATCTAGAAAATATGAGAAGCAAGGGGTTTCCTGGTTATATCTCTTATTGGTCAGGCTAGACGATCTGTTCAGGTCCCTCCTGACCCTAGCTACTATGAAACTATGAAACTATGGACCAAAAGTATAGTTGAGAGAGATGTTAGACAAACGTCCAGGCACAAAATACCCTTTGTCAAGTCACAAGGGAAGTAAGTATTGCTATCCCATTTTTACAGGTGGGAAGACAGAGGCACAGGGAGTAGTGATTGGTTCCAGGTTGCATAGCCAGAAGAAAGAAAGCCAAGTACAGCACCCAGGTCTCCTGAAGGGCAAAGCAGCGTTCTTCCTAGTAGGGGTGCAGCAAGCCTCCAAAGAAATCAGATGCCAGCCTATCGGATGTGATATGCCATGTGAGCGGTGGCAAGACCTCAGTCATCAAACTGTTTAGGACTTGCTGCTTTTGCGTTGGCAAGCTTATCATAGGTCATCTCTTGTCAGACACCCCTGTTCCTGTCCGTTCGCCATTCATTTGTGCTTTTTCTCCCTTGGTAAATCAAAGAATTGTTTTGACCTCTGCTAGCAACTTGAATTGAATTACACTTGATCTGTTAAATGAATGCCACAGACAAAAAAGAATGACATTTATTATATGGCAGAGTGTAATCCATTCAGTGCTTTATGAACACAAAGTCCTTCAGATAGCATCACAAATCCCCTTGATGGCTTTCTTTGTAAATCCACCTGTAAGTGCTGATTCTCCTCTATTCCATTAATTTACTTAATTCGGTTTGAGTCAGCTCATCCCTGGTAATTTGTACTTTCCTCCTATGCTAGGCAATCCTTTTTCTTTGCCCACGCTACTTTAATTATTATCTTTAAAATAGTGTGAGAAGAACCCAAGAAGTGCAGGGATTGGCACTGCCAAGGCAAACAAATGCAGGTTTCCAGGGTTCAGAGCTGGCTGAAAACTACATGTAAATACAGATCAACACAGATCTCTCTTCCTGGGATCTTCTCTCTATGCTGGCTATTCCAGCATGCCCGTGCAATACTTTGCAGTCACAAAATACAAGACAAGTACAGTTGTTTCTCGAGGACTGTGTGAAAACGAGGAGCTGCCTGGAGACTAGTGACTCTGGAACGGGGCAGGCAGAGCTGATGGGTGAATTGGCGTGTAAAGGTATGATATGGTTTACTTAAAAGTAATAGCTTGATGATTAAGTCACTTACCTGAGATGTGAGAGGATGGTAGGCTGGAACAGGAATTGGGGTATTCTGTTTCTCAGCTAAGTGACCTGATCCCTGTGATACTGGATCTTTCTGGGATAGGTCTCTCATTCTCTCCTGTTAGTGCGCTTCCACTTGGTATAACTAGAGAAGTCATTGGAGCAGAGACTTGGACCTGGGTCTCCTTCATGTCCCAGCCCATGAGCTATACAGCAAGTCTTTTGTCCACCACACGATTATGGATATAAGGAACAAGGGATACAGTCTGGGGTGCAGTCTGCCAACTCTAGCTCACACATACCTGCCAAACCTGGCAATGTAGCTGGGAAACCAGTCCAGGAGCTCCCATCACAGTTACTCTAAAGACTCTCAAGAGTGGCCACAGAGGCCATCCCCAAAATGGTTTCACCACCACATTTCCAGGTTTAGTACATATGAGTGGGAGCAGGTTGGACAGGAGGCTGGAGAGCTGTGGCAAGGACGGTGTAGCTGTAGCTGCTGACACTGCAAGGACACTTGCCCGGGATGTGGAAGCCCCGAGTGAGGTTCCTGGCCTGAACTGGGTTGAGCAGAGAAGAGAAGAGCCACTGAAAACGATGTGGTATCTGTTGGAAAATAAAGCAGGTAAATCCTAACCCAGGGACCCTTCACTAGAGGTATCTCTGGAACCTCCCACCTTTCAAGATACCAACTTTATTACCCTGCTCACGCACTCAGAAGTTAGATGCTTGTCATCACTTAGAAACACATTGCTCTTCCCGAAGTAGCAGCAGTAAGCCTTACAAAGTGCCATGACCCCCTCACATATTGTGGGTAGATCAGATTCTGCTTTGGATACATGAGTGCAAAGCTTT